GGCTCGGAGGAGCGCGAAGGCGGTTATTAAGCCGACATTTGCATCCGCGACTAATAGATTTCGCGAGGTACGATTACGATTTTTCCCGAGGGCCGGCGGAAAATTGCACAGCAGCCGGCAGGCCGGCACTTATCCGCGGGGATCGTTAGGAGAGTCGCGTTTGCGATCGGACGATCGATTTAACGCGGATACGATGATTGGCGAGGACTGTCGATGGACGAGGTGGGGAAAAAGGAGGAGGACGGAGGAGTAAAGTGTTGCGCGAAAGTTCGAGATCCGTTCGGGTCCCGTTGCCGAGGCCGTGTTATATCACGGATAACAATTTCCCCGAGGGTTCTCGTGCGTAATCGAGGCCGATTAACGAAAGCTCGATAACGTATCTGAGATAATCAACACAGTAGCTGGTCTGACGTGTCGTTCGCGAAGACAGCCGACTCGCGATGATCGAGTCCGCTTCTCTCGATCTACCTTCGTCTACCACGTCGAACGTAGCGCGTCCGACTTTGCTCGTTGCTTCGAGCGCGATGTTGAGTTGGCCGATAAATTAATAATACATTTTTTCGAACTTATCTGCATGAGGAAAGACGCACCGACCGGCGGGGGAGAGGAGGGGGTTTCACCTTATCCAGCTTCAAAAATACCTCACATTGCCCGTCTCACATTGTCCAACACCTTGCAATTACAATTCCCTAATTACTTCCCTCCATCTTGCCGGCGCGGCGGCCGCGCGGAATCTGCTTTTTATCGCTTGTCGCTACCTTCGACGTGAAAATTCCCCGCGGCTGCTTCGCCCTCGCAGCCAAGTTGAAGAAATCTCGCAGCTCGCGCGCGACAATGGCGCATGAATCGCTTCGCCTCCTCGACTGAGAGCACCGCTCCGCTCGAGTCTCCTGACGAACGAGGACAATTGGCCACAGCGAAGCGGTGCTTCTTGCGTCGATTCGGCGCGCGATGATTGACTCGCGCGGCGATATCGCCGCGACATAAGCGAGCCGATACCGCCGATATCCAGGTGCCATCGGCACGGAATACACGGAGCATATCTCGCCGCTTCGACTCCGGTTTCCACTCGCTCTACGGCGGTAATGCCATCTCTCTGTAACGCCATCCCCGGCGCACCGTCGAGATTCACCTGGCCTTTAACCGCCACGTCTGATATATCCAATGACAACGTCGCGACGCGCTCCTCACGTTAATCTGTTCGCTCTCTCTCTCTCTCTCGGCCGATGCTCGGTCGATCGTCCGTCGAGTGGCACGCGATCGCGCGATCTCTCCGTTGGGGCGCGTTTGACCCGCGTCGCGTCGCGCGTTGCGCAATTTGGCCGAGGGCCGAAATTCGAAAGACGAGTGCTCACGTCACACTAGTCTTCGTCAGCGACCAGTCGGTTCATTCACATTTCTCTTTCTCCGTCTTCTTCAACTTTGACAATGAGACCCGTGCTGAGCAGCACAATGGACGCGATAAGCCTTGAACACCTCTCACTCTGAGCTCGAAAATGAAATGTGATTTCGGGAGAAATTTTTCGGGAAAAATTTCTCGCGAGTAACAACGCACGCGGCTTGGGAAACGCGGCGAATTCAAAATGACGCGCGGTCGATTGCGAATCGACGGGCCAGCGGGTGTTACGTAACATTTTTTTACGGGTTCAAATCAAAGGACCAAACACGCTCGCTCCGCACTGCATTTCATGCTGCGAGACACACGTGCGCGATGCTATCGTATCGGCATTCGATCGATAGATCCGTGGATCGACCGCTCTCCATGCTGACATCGCGTTTAATCACCCGTTTAATCGCGCGCGTAATTCATCGACTTTCGCGTATGATAATAAAAGACAGCGATATTAATGGTAATGACGCGCGCGCGAGCTTCCTTTTCAAGTCGCGCCGATTCCGTTTTTCGCGCGCATTGTGCTGCCGCCGTGTCCGCGCCAATATGCTCATATTTATTTATGCAGCCGCAGCATTGTAGCGACCGGCCGCGCGGTGCATCGCGTATGCATTGTGAATCAGCTCGCGCAATAGAGGCATATTGTGCGCGTTCTTGTTTCTCTGTTCAGCCATTCATTGGCCGTATAAAAAAAAGAAAAGATAACTCCACCGGCCGCGATGCCGATGAATATCGCTCGCATCGTCGCGAATTATCGCCAAATTAAGCGCAAGCCTTCCCTCCGTCCCTCCAGCCAGCCAGCCAGCCATCCCCCGGCTCGTGCGCGTTTCGCTCATCCGTTCCTAATTACTTATAAGCACGTCCGCGCTCATTAGCGCTCCGTTTGGTCGTCGGGGCGATTAAAGCTGATCTTTGACACCGCCGCAGCTTTCGTTGTTATTCCGGCCATCTATTATCGCTCGTCCACAAACGGCCGCGGCATGACAGTATCGATAACGCTGTTGCGATATCATCTATCGCTAATCGTTATCGTTATGTCGACGGTAGCACGCGCAGTCGACACGTGAGAAGAATTACGAAAAGAAATATTTACTATTTACTACGAAATAATGAATCTCGGTGAAATTTTCGTCGAAGACATTTCACCTCGGAGAAATAACAGGGAATGAGATACATGCCGTATCGTAGGAATTTTAATTATCTTTTCTCCCCCTCCCTCTCTCTCTCTCTCTCTCTCGCTTTCTCCGTCTCTTCAATTGGTTCGATCTTCGAGCTACGCCTGACCGAAGCAACGTGAACCGTTTCCGACCCGCGGCGGCAACCACCCCCGTGCGGCTCTCGCAGCTCGCGTGAACTGCGCAGTTGCGCTCGAGTGTCGTTTCGTCGTGTCATACGCGCCTTTACAGCCCGGGGAGTTGTACGCGTGCGAGCGCGCGCACGTGTGTGCGCGCGCGCGCGCGCGTGAGTCCTCTCACTCTCTCCTTCGTCGAGATCCCGCCACACGCTATGCGCTACACGCTCCGCTATGTCCGAGACACGTCGCAGAAATGCGCTTGCATCTTCCGGACGCGTAGCGAATGTCGATATTCCGCCGGCGAGCTATCGCGGGCAGCTCCTCCCCTTCGTTTAATTATTTTGAAGCGTGAAGCGATGCACCGCATGGATACGAATGCTATTCTTCGGAAGGGTATTTTAGGATGGAGGGAGGGAAACCGCGAGAATCTCGAAGACGAGAACGTATGCTATTACGCTTCTCACACGGCGTAGTCGGCGAGTGCGTTCGTAAAATCCCTAATCTCGACGGGAAAGAAAGAAAGAGAGAGAGAGAGAGAGAGTGAGAGAGAAAAGCGGAGCATTCCTCGCGCCTCGAAGTCAACTGCGAGATACGCACTTGCCTTCCAGCCCCGCAGCGCAGTTTCCGCGCGTATTAAATTATCTCTCATACGGAATTCTAGGCGCATCTCGTAGTGGCGCGGTTATCTGGCGACTGAAAACACACACACACTCTCGCGCGGTGGTGTGTCCGGTGCTCAAACGTAACCACTACTCCGAGTAGTAGGACAATGTATTGTCACGCTCCTCGGTGTCCCCCTCGCTCCTCTCCGATCCGAACGAACCGCGGAGTGGTGGGGGTCGCGACTGTCCTCCCCACTCCACTTTTATCAACCTCCTCTCCAGCGGCTGCGTGCGCACGCGTCCCCACCGCCGCGACCGATCGTCCGCACAGACGAGCGCAGGGTGGGGGAAGCCGGCAGAACGTGCGTACCGAGTGGCCAGGAAAGCATATAATCATTACCGCGCCAGACCTCGAGGAGTACAAACGTGTTTCTCGTTACTTGCGCTCAGTCGAGATCTCGTGCCGCTCTGCTTTCCCCGCACCACATCGGTGCTCTCTCTCTCTCTCTCTCTCTTTCTTCGTTTCGTGCGCGCAGCTCCGAACATACGTGTGTGATACATCGCGCCAAAGAGGACACAGTTTCGCGTGGCTATAATTCGTCACGGTGTACGTCGCTCTCGCAGCCGTCGTCGTCGTCGTCGTCGTCGTCGTCGTCGTCGTCGTCGACGTCGCGGGTGAGCGGAGGCGCGTAGTCCCGAGCCAACTCGCACGTGTTCGCGCGACGATTTATGGTGATCGCGAGACACCTGTCCGCTGTATGTTGGCCGTCCACGTGAAGCGTACGGTGCCGAGCAGCCCGGTCACGAGGCGTTGAGAAGCGCGCGAAGACAGACGGAGATCGCTCGAGGAAAACGCTTTCCCCTCGTGCTCAGGGACTTATACCTCACGGACTTTCAGCGCGCGTGCCCGGTGCGCCTCGGCGAGAAGATTTCTCGCTCAAGGTAAGAAGCGAGGAAAAGGCGCTGAAAGAGGAGAAAAGGGACACTTAGTGCGCAGCGTCGTGATCGCACTTCGAGTGCTCCGGCGACGCGGGAGCAGGATCATCGACCTCTCGCGTGCGCACCGTGCCCGAGAACAAAAGATTCGCTCTGTCGCAGCGTCGTCGTCGTCGTCGTTGTCGTCGTCATCGTCGTCGTCGTCATCGCCGTCGTCGTCGTCGCCACCACGACACGCTCCTCTCTCTCTCTCTCTCTCTCTCTCTCTCTCTCTCTCTCTCTCTCTCTCTCTCTCTCTCTCTCTCTCTCTCTCTCTCTCGCTCTCTCTCTCTCGCTCTCGCTCTCTTTCTCTCTCTCTCTCGGGTCCCTCGGGAGTGAGCGCGACGCTGCCACGAGGAGGACGATTCAGCTGAAGTTGTAGCCAAATCGCTGCTGCTGCTGCTGCGTGCGCGCACGTCGCACCACGTGCGATCCGCGACGATGTACGCTGAGAGCGTGCGCCGGTGAACTGAACGGTCACGTGCGACGAAGGAAGGACGACACACGCGTGCAGCGACTCGCGTACGCGATTCTGTGCGTCGTCGATCCCGACGTGCGTGCGTGCGTGCGTTAGCTAGCTGCTCACATTGATAGATCTGGTCGTTGCGCTTGTCCGTCACTAAAACACTCACCGAGCGCGCGGCGACTTTGTTCTCGCGGGACGAACTGGTGCGCGAAGAGAGACGTCAGATTTGAGTGTGCTCAGTGAGCTCAACCACGTTGCTTGGTTCGGTTACAGTGCGTCGAGAGCGAGCGGTGGAGCAAAGTCAAAGGTCACGAACGGAGTTCGGGACGGTCGCGTGCGATCGAGGGTAGAGGACGACGAGAGGAGCGCAGTAGAAGGAGGAGGAAGAAGAGATTCGCGAGGAGAGAAGAAGAAGAAGAAGAAGAAGAGGAGAGAGACAAGCAGCATCAGCATGGCTATACCGTTCGCGCTGCCGACCGACGGCGAGGCGGACTCGCAGCAGATGACACTGATGCTGGACCTGTACGCAGCTCTGCATCGCGTGATCCGCAGCAGGAATGCCCAGCATCCGTCACGAAATCGTGAGTCCACCATCCGTTTTTTAATCAATCTGATGTACAAGTATTTGGAAGAGTACTTGTACTATGAGACGTTGAACCGTTGAGTGACTGTTGGTCACATCACATCGGCAAGGGAAATTATCAATTGTCACGATGCGAGCGAGCGAGCGAGCGGGCGAGCGAGCGAGCAAACAAACAAGCCAGTAAGCAAGCGAGCAAGCAAGCGAGCAAGCGAGCAGGCAGGTCAGTCAGCGAGCAACTGACAGATTAATTGTAGTCGCGCGTATGAGACTGCGTTTCCTTACCGTAGCAAAATTGGCTCTTCTTCTGTTTGTTATTAATTGAAAACTATGACGATTAAAAGTTATGATAATTCTATCATCACATGGAGATTTGTTTGAAATTGTATTTAGAGGCTTGTTTTCGTGTGCCAAGAACGTAAGGCTCGACTCCCGCGTTCGCGCTGGAGAACGCGACAGGCGTTCACCGAGGCGTTTTCGACGGTGATCTCTCGCGCAGGAGTATTTGGCTGTAGCATGAAATTCAAAGGATAATTGGCAATGCGATGATCGAAGGGATAGGGAGCAGGTGTCAATCAGAAGGATACGATGTCGCGGTAAACGGGGACTCGCCCAGTTTGTACACTTGCGAATATGACTACATTGTAAAACAACAGCAACGTCGATCGTCACGAGTCGCGTGACAGAATCGAGAGAGACGTGTGTGTTCACCGAACGAGGTAGAGGGAGTGCAATTGTCAAGAGTCACAAGAGCGACATGTTTCATCTTTTTACGTTCACTTGAATATTGTAATAAACAACAATTGATAACTGTTTGTTAACGACATAAAACGATAAGCGAAACGATATGCGAACCGAGACTCGGCACTGTCTCTGTGTGTGTGTGTGTGTGTGTGTGTGCGTGTGTGTGTGTGTGTGTGTAAAACATTGCAATGACCAAATGTTCAATAAACATGTCTGAGTAATCGAAAAAGAGAAGGAAACAATTTCTTGATTCACTCACTGACGAAAACACCTGAGCGACTCACGTGTCGGCCACTAGCTTCGCTAAAGCTGACCGCGGATCGCTCAGGCTGACCCCTGACTGGATCTTTCAAACTGTCAGATCGCCCGAGACTGATTCGCGTCGCCGAGAAGAGCCACCGCGGCTCAGCTCGGCTCGCCGACGAGAACGAGGTAAACGCACGGCAGCGCGCGAGGGTCGCTCGATAATATCTCGGCTAGTAGTGCTCCGGAGTGCAACACGTGGTTGCGGCGGGGAACAATTCGGAGCAGCGCAAGAAATACGCGGGGGACTCGTGTGTGACATTTTAATTTCCGCGCCGGTGTCGCCGATTAATTCTCCGCTGATGCGCGCGCGCGCGCGAACAAGCAAAAGTTCTTCCCGGACGTTCTCGGAGCCTCGAGAATCCGCGTTTGCGTTTCTCGCGTATTTCTCGTGTTGAAAAAAGCGCAGCTCTCGTTGAAGCGCTCGGCGGAACGCAACGAAACGGCCGCTCGCCAGTCCCGTCTCGCGAATTCGCCGGAGAGACCGAAGAAGAGAATCTCGGGGCCGTTCCGTGAGTGTTGCACCACATCGCGCGAAAATCCCATCATCGATCGCGGTCGTTACTCCCGCGTGAGTCACCGTCGAAATATTTCGCTTGGTCTGTGTCAGGTAGCGACGAGAATTCGGACACGTCGATTCGCGACTTTGCGCACACCTTCACGTCAGAGGCGATTGACAAAAATCGCAAGATCGCCCCGGGCTGAAGAGAGATAGAGAGAGAGAGAGAGAGAGAGAGAGAGAGAGAGAGAGAGAGCTCCGCTTCGGCCGCGTGGGTTTTACGTCTCGGCTGAAAAAGAAAAACAAGCTGCGACTCTCGCAAAGATGCGAGACGTGTTTCGTCATTTCTCGTCCTCTCGTTTTCTCGAATCTACGAATCTACGACGGGCTCGTTCCCAAGTCAATTTCGGGTATTATACGCGCAGGAGAGTGTAATATGTCAGCGCGGATGACGAAAGCTTCACTTTTGTCGTCGTTAACGAGAAAATTCGTCCAAACGCATGGAGGGTGTTAAAAATCAAGCGATCATAATCGTTAACGACTGAACAGAATCCCTCGTGGGTATCTCATTGTTGCTACGACTCACATCTGCTCTTGGTCGCCGGACAACGGAAAAGCAATAAGACAAACCGAAGTTTCCTTTCTTGTGCGCTTGACCGAGGTTCTATGCCATGTGGCATAATCTACTCATTTCGTCCTACTGCGCAGCACAAATGTAGAAAGTTACTGTTACGGCTGCTCCGAATGATTTACGACTGAAGAATAATCTGCAGCCTCTATCGCTTGTTCTATCGAGGATAGATTCTGTAGGTAGCATTTCCGAAACGATAGGAAAGTTTACGACGTGGCCGAGCGAGGCAAACTGCATCGGAAAGTGGAAAACTCCCTGCAAAGTCAGGCACTAGAGCGTATTTTCTCTAAACAATGCAGGAAATCCAAGGACTATTATCCATCGTCCCATACAAACAGCGATTTTACGACGAAAACGAGCTTTGCAAGTTTGTGTGTGTGTGTGTGTGCGTGTGTGCGTGTGCGTGCGAAACGCACATGTGAAAACTCCGGTCTATCTTTTTGCAGAAACGCCCATCACGAAGAACTTTGAATAGTTAACGGAAACGACGTCACGCTGCGTCAAAGCGTGTTCCTTCGGTACTTTTTTCCGCCGTAAAAAATTGCTTCTCCAATAAGATTCTTTATCTGAAAACCGACGGTACACTGTCGAATCCGTTACTCTTTCACGCTTGCGTCTCCGTTCGAGCTGCGACTCGAGTTCAGTATAATATAATCTATGTAGCAAATTGAATCACTTCCGCGTTTTCTCTCCGAGGTTTCGATGATATCGGCAATCCTGACGGTGCGTTGAGCAGTTTACGAAGAGGGAAAGAAATAGCGGAGACGCGCACACACACACACACATGCACCCGCACTGCTAGGTTTTCGCATAGAGAAGCGTCGCGAAGGCGAGACGAAACGGCTCTTTCGCGCGATCACGATGGCTCATATTCGGCGCGCAGTGAAATTCAGCTTTATGAGAGTGCACGGCCGCGAGCGAGAGAGGCAGAGAGACACACAGAACGAGAGAAAGAGAGAAGGGGGAACGCGCTACGCGCGGGTAGAACAGATGTAGTGTGGGTGTAGAGCGCCGAGAAACAGAGAGAGACTCAGAGAGAGAGAGAGAGAGAGAGAGAGAGAGAGAGAGAGAAAGAGAGAGAGAGAGAGAGAGAGAGAGAGAGAGTACGGCAGACGATGTCCGGCCGTGACCCTGCGCCGCGCTGGTCGTGCCTCCTTTACAGAGAAAAGAGAAGAGGACAGAAGAGCGAGGAGGATCGTGGCCGGAGAGTGGATACGCGAGGAAACGAGCGAGAGAGGAGGAAAGAGAGAACGAGCAAGCGAGGCAGAGAGAGAGAGAGAGAGAGAGAGAGAGAGAGAGAGAGAGAGAGAGAGAGAGAGAGAGAGAGAGAGAGAGAGAGAGAGAGAGAGAGAGTACACTGGTCAGCCGCACCACACGCAGTAAAACGCGCTATAAAACGCGATGCAGCCCGGCGCGGCGGTGCCGCGCGACCAAGTCCGAATCTCGAATGTCGATCGTGCCGACGCACCTCGCAGAGAGATTGCGGCTATCAACCGCAAGTGCGTGACATCATCCATCGCTCGTTCCGTCGACCCGGTCGATCGGTCGGGGGACGTACGAGGGCCCGGACAGTTCGCCATAAACCAAGTGGAAAATCCGCGAAGAGAGCCGGCCGGCCGGCTGGCCGGCCACTCGACTCTCGACGTGGCCGGCCGCGAAGCCTCTCGAGCGATTTCCCGTCGTTTCACATAGTACGATCAAACGATTCCGACCAATGCGGGAAAATCGCTGTCGCCGGCCCGCATCGATCGCACGCTCGCTTGCTCGCTCGATTTCCCGCGACGCTAGCTGCCGCGCGCGAGAGCGAAGCTCGCAGCAGCGCGAATGCGGACTCGAATTCGAATGAATTTTATCGGCGGACGTGCGTCGAATCGCGCGCGCGCGCGCGAAGCGACACTCTCCGGCCTTCTTCGTTATCGCCTTGCGGTTTGATTATTGCAATTGAAGATTCCTTTGTAGAGAGAACCGCCCGCGATATCTGCGGTGCGTCGTGCGCTCGCGTGCGTGTGCGCGCGTAATTTCGAGTGTGGAAAAACATATCGGGAGGATAGGCAGATATATCGCGTGTGATATATGCGGTAACGCTTACCGCGCGCATTACGCTCGTAACACTCGGCGGCTATTCGAGCCGTGTCGCTAATGAACACCGCCGGTACGAAGCATAATTTATGGAGATTTAATCTCTCGACCGTGATGGATAATGTAATCCGCGCGGATAAATCCTCCGCTTCATTGTATAATACATTTTATTGCATTTCGCTTTGCCGCGCGAATAAAGCCGCGAGCGAGCGAGCGAGCGCGCGCGCACGCATCCGAGAGAACGTAATTATACGGGTGATGCGCGTGTGTGCGACGCGTGTGCAATAACACCGCGCGCGGACCTTCGATCGTAATGCCACCGTTTCAATGCGAACACACGTCGCTCTTGTTACTCGTTCCCTTTTCTTTCTTTCTTTCTTTCTTTCGTCCTTTCGTTCTTTCGTTCTTTCCGCGCGCCGGTCCGCTCCGCGCGTGATATAACTACACGCGCTGAAATTGCGCAATTGCCCACTTATCCGCCCGATATCCGTGAGCGCGTCTGAGACCTCTAAGCACTCGCGAGATCTATCGAGACGAAATTTCATTTCACGCGCGCACGCGCGGTGAGCGCGTCATTTGCCTCGTCTTGTTTTGTCGTTACATAATAGATATCATCGGATTAAATCGCGGCGCTCTAAATCGGCGAGAGAAACGCCATGGCCGTATAAATTAGAGATTAGCGTTCTAGGATTACTCCGTATCGTTAGCTCCCGCGCATATTGCACGCGATTATTATTTATAAATC